TATCGAAAGACGTGTCCGTACTCGAGTGTGATAAGGTATCATTTTGCGTTTCATTCTGTGAACTATCATCAACAGGTATGTTATCATTTACTGTATTTAGAGGGACATTGACAAGCTGTTTGGCAGGTATGGGTTGCAGTGTGATATTATCATTCTCACTCATTGATTTTTCAATAAATATCACATCCCTACTGATTACAATCTTTTTATTTACTGGGTCATACAATCTGTAGCCCTTTGTATTGTCGCAATATCCCACAAACACTAATTCTCTTGATTTACGATCCCATTTAAGATGGTTTTGTTTTGGAATATGTACCATGGCCTTAGAACCAAAAATCTTTAAATGAGAAATGTTTGGTTTCTTACCGGTCCATTTTTCATAGGGAGTTACCTCATCCAAAACTCGTGATGGTGATCTGTTGATGACATAAGCTGCAGCGGTGACTGCCTCTGCCCAGAATTGTTTATGCAACTTTGCTTCAAATAACATACATTTTGCACGTTCCACCAACGTCCGGTTAACTCTCTCTGCTAACCCATTCTGCTCAGGCGTGTATGGAGTGCTGGTCTGATGTTTGATGCCGGAAGCTGCTAGAAAATCAGAGAATATTTTATTATTATATTCTTTTCCATTATCACTTCTTACTACTTTTATTTTCTTTTCTAATTCGTTTTCTACTTCTTCTTTAAATATTTTAAACACTGACTTAATATCCATTTTGTTCTTGAGAAAATATACATAAACTTTACGGGAATAGTCATCTATGAAGGTTATGAAGTATTTCGCACCACCAGCAGATGGCGTCTCCATCGGACCACACAGATCAGTATGTACTATTTCGAGTAATGCTTTTGCTCTTGAACCAGAATGTGGAAACGGTAATCGTGTTTGTTTTGCTTCACAACAGGGTATACAGACAACATCAACATTTTTATTAGTGATAGTTATACCCTCAGCACATAACTCTAACCTCTTTACATCAGCCAAATTTAAATGCCCCATTCTCTTATGCCATGTAATAATATCTGTCTTATTTTCACATGAGACAGTATAAGCATTCCCAGTAACAGTATTAAGTTTGTACATGTTATTTGTTAGAGTTGCATTTGCTATGAGAATCTTATTGGCATTGTATATATTGCAACCTATATCAGTAAATTCCACTTTACATCCATTTTTGGTTAATTGACTAACAGATAACAGGTTTGCACTCAGCTCAGGAATATATAAAACATTTCTTACCTGGATAGGACATTTATCTTTGCAGTATATGGTCTGAATGTTTACTTTACCCATATTTTGCACGGAGATTGCATCATTATTAGCAACTATTATATGCTGAATCGCAGATGGTTGTAAATCATACATCCAGTCATAATGTTTTGTCATGTGCATTGTGGCACCTGAGTCAATGTACCAATCATCTTCATTTACATTGCTGTAAGCTGAAAAAACTGCTGAAAAAGTATTATGGTTAGATTTCTTCACTGTGCATTGATTTTTAAAATGTCCGTACTTGTTGCAATTAAAGCAGCGTGGGCCTTTTCCTTTTGGCTTGGCATTATTCTTATTAGAGGTATTCTTGTGCTTTGTGAAGAATGCAGAAGACTCGGAAACTTTAACCTCTTGTAAAAGTTTTGTTTTGACGAAGTCTGCCGATATTTTAATGCCGGAACTTTCCAGACCCATGATCATAGGTTTATAATTATCCGGTAAACCCGCCAGCATGAGTGTTCCCAACCATTGGTCATCTACATCGAATCCGATATTTCGTAATTTGTACGCAGTACTCATAATTTTATTCACGTAGTCTTCGACGCTCGCGCAATTATCTAGCGATGTGTTTATTAAATCTCGCAATAAGCCGACTTTTCTTGATAACCCGGAGTCTTCGAAAGCATTTTGTAGGTTCGTCCAAACTTTTTTAGATGACTGTGCATTTTCAATATGGACGTAGTTTATTGGTTCCACCAACAAAATGATTTTTGACTTGGCTTTTGTATCTTTTTTTAAGTCGACATCGGTGCCGGGATCGACACATTCCCATAAATCCTCATGTTCTAGATAAGATTTGACCGCAAACTTCCATGTCGAATAATTTTCCCGTCCGGCTAATTTCTCAATTTGTAAATTAGACATAGCCATTTTACTCGGATTGACGTTCGATGAAATATTCGCAAATTACTAATATCAACGACTGTATAGTATTTTATAGCAGTAAATATTAAACTTTGAATCTTTTTAGGTATACGAGAGGGCCCATAACCTGTAGGAAATTAATTATAATAATAGAGAAAGTTTAACAACGTTTATTGCCCGGTAATACTTTTTACAGTGACATAGAACATGACAAATTTTAAATAGAAAAATAAATAGTAGGCACACAAGTTAACAAAGAGGTTGGAACTATTCATATATAAAACTACAATTAAATATTTTATGTTTACTATTCCAACACAACCCAAAAAATATTTGTGATCAGAATTACTTGAAACTTAGTATTAATGTTCTTCAATACAATTAAATAAATACGTGTTTTAACATTTTTCAAAATTCATCCCATAAGGGGGTAAAATAGGGTGGGAAAGTTTGTATGAAACCTACCCTTTTAGAGATATTTTTTGTAGTTTTAGCGCGAGCGAAGCCGCGGGTTCTACTAGTTTATTATAATTAGTATGTTTTAGTTTTATTATCTATATATGTATTTTTGAGACTATGTACATAAGTATATGAGTTTTTGACGTGTCCAATTTTTTTTTGTTTTTTTTTAGCGGGGGTGTTATATAATATATGCTAGAAATACTAATTTTATATTTTTAATGAATACTTATTGCACTAATTACTCATAACACCTCCAGGTAAATTTCTAAGAAATTAATTAAATTTCTAAGAAATCTACTGTTAAGTGTAACGCCGGCGTGTCCGCGGTTGTGGAGGGATTAATATTTTTTGAAACATTCCTATAATAGGTACAATAGATTTATCGTTAATCGTTTCATATATTTAACATGAAATGTACCTACTGAACTGAACAAATTAATCCTATACACATATAAATTCGTATAAAAAAATAAAGCAATTCAAATATTTGATGCAATTACTGTTTTAACAAAGTCGAAAACCTTCACTTTCACCTAACGTCTACAAAGTGAATTATTTACAGTTTTACGATCACATTGAATATCGTTCTTGCTTTTACTTTAAATACGAAGTCTACAACAAAAAGAAATTCCGATTTTCTTTTTAGTGATTTTACTATACTTTAGCTTTGATATCAATGAAAATTTATATTATAAAATTATAAATATAATACAGTAATAATTGAGCTCTTCTAACGGTCCAATCCCAGGCTCAGCCTTTCCTCAATGTGAGTGTCAAATTAATTCAACGAATGGTTGGTGGACTTCACATGTCGTTCGAGAACTACTTAGATTATCTCATATAACCACATGATGTTTTCCTTCAAACACACATGTTTGAGGAGATTATCTTGAATTTGAATCAAAATAATTCACACATGAAAATCTTAAGGGGTCTGTGACCCAGGATATGAACCAGGTTCAATGGATTTTCAAGTGTGTGCATTGCCGTTGCCTAAAAATGATTAACACCTACATAAAAAGTTTATTGTGTAGGATATTAAAAGATAATGATTCAGAATAAAACCTAAAACAGAAATGTTACAAGTGTCAATGTCCCAGAAAAGTGGGCATGTTATGACATCAGCAAAGTGTTTGTTAAAGTATAACAATGTATAATTTCACACATTTACATTTTAAGCCTCAGGAAAAGTCTTTTTAAAGTAAACCCAGTATTTATAAAATCATAAAAAATTATTCAGGAGACAATACTTATTTAATAAACTTATAATTCTTTATCAAACTTGAAGAAGTTATCCATTATTTCAATTATTTTTTGGTATACAAAGAAAAAATAATGTTGTTGTATTTTGTATCTAAAATTATATATTTAGAACTATAAAGTTACTTGTCCTGACTTATACATTGACAATCAGAAACCACTAGACCTAGAGCCTATAAACATATTTAACATATTACAAGAAAGAATCTTTTTAAAGACATGCAAAATCAAATAGGTTAAAAAAGGTTGGCATCATTTATATATGAAAAAAAAAACCTTTTTCGGGGTGTCAATCAAAGCATAAGCAAGCCTCTGAATCTGGAGACCCCTAATTTAGATATATTTTTAATAAAAAAAAAATAATAACTCTAGTTGAAAACCCGAACTGGGCATGAATTAAAATGATCCAATACTGGTTTCATCAAGAAACATGTTTTAGAGAAAAGGTAGTTTAATTGTATATACTTTTTATATTAACAAATCCATCCCCCGACATCAGCCATCAATAAACGGTAGGTATTAGAGGTAAAAGACAGGTAAAGCCTGCATGTTACCCAAAACTGATTCTTAGCAGAATTTGTGAGCACAAATAATATCAATATACAAGTGCATACAAATGCATAAATAATGTAATATACAGAAAAAATACATATGCCGTTTTTCATTTATATTCAGTGCGTCCACTAAACCTTGCTAAATACAAGATACTTGGGAAAGCCAATTGTACTACTATACTACCAAGAATCTTTATCTATAAGTAGGTACATAGTTACTGTTGTCTTACTCAAGAGAAAATGTTCTTCTAGGTAGAAATACAAATCTTAACCAATTATCTAATTTTATGTAGAATACTTAGAGCTAGTAAGGTAGGCGATCATGAATACTAAGGATTACTGCAGAGTTACACGTAACATATTCGCGGGCAAAGATTGTAAGTGTTTAGAGCAACAATAGTACTTATCTAGTGTTACTGTGAAATAATGTTTCAAAACGTAATAATTATGTCATTTAGTCACTACTAAAACTAATAGATCCTGATAGCCAAGTGTGTATGTTTGTAACAAATACTTATGTATAGAATATAATTATAAGATGTTTATTTATCTATATATGTTACTACAATAATTTAACTAACCGGCAACAGCAGCCACTTCTTTAGCCCCGACATGAAGGAAGTCTGTAAGTGACAATGAGCTAGCAATCAGCTGCCTGCGCTCTTGAAAATCGAGTTGGTCGAGGCTATTGGTCCTGGTACTGCGCACCGCCTGAGCAGGCGCGCTCAGCGACATGTCAACTACACGCAGCCATGTCGCACGTACGACATCTTCGGTATTGACAATAAAAACACCACTTCACTATTAATCAGCACTAAACAAAGACACACGCGAATCGACACAAACATGAGTATTCTGTAATGAATACAATATTATCGTAGAACCTGCGTCGCGAGGGACGCACGCCGCCGGACTGGCGCGCGCGGGTCGAGACGGGCGGCGTGGAAGGGTGGGGGCCAGGGGCCTGCCTGCTTCTGTCGCCCCTGCACGTTGCACTCGACGCGCTTCGTTCGCTGATCCGTGGCATAACTGCCATAGTAATGGCGTACTTTGGCGAAACTCCGACGTAACGTCACAACAACATAGAGATGGGCAATTACTCCTAGTGCACTTCAAGACTACTCTTATCGTTAAAAACTTTGTATTTCCTTTTAAAAATAAACCCAAGTTATCAAATGCTAAGATTTTTGTATAAGAGAGATAATTATTTGAATCATATTTACGTGTGTATAAAATTTATTCATATTATGATAAAGTGAAAATCCACTAAATTGGCTAATTTTATGATACAAGCAGAACAAACTTAGCCTATGGCGTAAGTCACAGTTGCTAGTTTTACTTTAAAAAAAGATTTAACTACATCTAAGAATGAGATGAAACATTTGAATGGATAAAATCTACCAAAGAAATATAAATAGAATGCAACAAACATGCTCTACTGTTAGTACTCAGTTTGAAACATGAACGTACGCCGATATCGTCTTACCGGTTTAGCAAACGAAAAACTCTCCTATCCTCCCCACTGACACCCCCGCTTTAATAGTCAAGCAGGTGTAATGTGTCGACTGTCGAACCTGACGATACTTGTATTATTCCCGTTTTGTTAAGCACCATTGTCAATACACTTTATGTAAGTTGTCAGCCTTATGCAAAAAGAGATTGCACGTTTACATGCGGAAAATGTATAAAATTTTAATTTACAACTATGTAAATAATTTTGAAATTCTTGAAAAACATGTCTTGACAAGGTACATAATATGTATATGAAAAATACGTATATAAAAAACAGTGTCACAGACTGGATTTGTTTAAAAAATACCATTTGACCAAACCCATATTTTTGAAAAAAGAAATAGCCCGATTATCTATCAGCTATCTGTACAACCGCATCATATACCTAAAGATCTATGGGGTCAAACCTAAAAAGCTGTAAATAAAAAAATATTTCCAAAAATAAAAAAAAACCCGATTGCGTAAAAAGAATTAAAAATAATATGTCTGATTACTTATTACTATGTTCCTTCGTCAACTTGTTCCCATGTTTTGAGTTCGCTCTTTACGCAGACGGGTTTTTAATTTTGTAAATATTTATTTTATTATCCTATTCATTTTGCTGTAACTACCAAAAGTTGGCGATGAAAAAGTCTACCTAGTTAAATATAAATAATTAGATGATAAGAAAGAAATATCTATAGAGAAACTTAGTAATATTTTAAAAGCAGTCACTGATTAAAAACTATTAACTATTTCAATTATCTTATCTTAAATTGTATTTCAATTTTTTATGTAATTGCAATTACTTAAATTGTAATTATTATATGATATATTTTAATAAACAGTGGTAGCAGTGGAAGCTTAGTAGAAGGCAGTGGTAGCCCGGTGGTAATGCGCTCGCTTGGGAAACCGAGTGAAGCGGGTTCAAATCCCGACATGCAGGTTTCCTCACTATGTTTTCCTTCACGGTAAGGCAAGTGGTAATCATGTTAGAAATGATTCGCACATGAAAATATCAGAGGTGCGAGACCCGAGATTTGAACCCGCTTCTCTCGGTTTCCCATGCGAGCGCGTTACCATTGGGGTACCACTGCCTGTATTATAATTATAGAATATTCCATTATGCAGATCAATCAATCAAGAGTTTTATACACCCTGTTTTCCCATTAGAGCACTAAAGCGCATTATGCGGCATAATGCTAACTTCGAATGTTTCAACTACAGCAGCGCTCCGCTCAATCGAGCATTTTAAAAAGTACTGCTTTGGCGTAATGCGCGCAAGGATACCAATAATTACCAACTCAATAGCAGAAAATATGAGAAGTGTTTTTTCTTCAAGGTGGCATATATTAAAATTTTATTTACATAATTATAAGTATGTAGGTATTTTAATTAGTTTTATATTATTACATATTTATTATATAATTTATAATATTGACGATATGTATTAATATATATTATATACATAATATTTGTTATATTTTTTCTTTCAACTCCAACCTAGTGCCCTCTGCTGTTGCACTTGAAAACTAATTCACGTTCCAATTAAGCATTAGCACACTTTGGCATTGTGCGCCAAAGTACGGCATTATGCTCTGTAATTAGAAAACAGGGACACTATAGCAATATGAATAGTATACAATGTTACATGCAATAGCTCCTTCAAATTGAAAGCTTTACAGCAGTGAGTCCCTTTTTACCCGACTGCAAGGAAAGGGTTATGTTTTTCGCGCCTATCTTTGTATGTTTGTTTGTTTGTAATATTCTCTATTCCCTCATATCTTCCAAACCACTCGATGGATTTGTTTAAGTAAGGTATTATTAGATTTGTCTCATTAGTCCAAGTGTTCTTAGATAGATGACATAAAAAAATATGGGGGCTGCTAGATTTCATTTTTTATGGTGATTTATTTAATCTTCTATTTCTGCAATATGGGTATCAAATTAAAGGGCTCATAACAAGGATTCCAAAAAGGTATAACGTCCCTGTATTATTCATCTTAAATAACAATTTAAATTATATAATGATTTAAAGTTGGTTAACAACCATTTTGCCTAATTTTCTTACTTAAAAATCTGTAAATAAATAAATATATTATAAAAATAAAAAACCCAACTGCATAAAAGCTAACTAAAAAGATGGCAATAAGTTCACGAAGGAATATATAGTATTATGCAGTCGGAGGCATACGAGTATGTACCTACATCTCGCGGCAAGGATGGAACATGTATGTGTCCCCGACTGCAAAATATAAACCTATTCCTTCGTGAACTTGTTCTCATCTTTTTAGTTACCTTTTATATGCAGTCGGGTGTTTTATTTTTAAAACATATTTTTGTTATTGTATTTGTATTTGACCAAGGGGCAAAGCCTTAAACTGATTGAAGCTGAACATCACATGCGACAGAAATATAGGAATCTTTATGAGTATTTTTAAAATACTAAAGACGCAATACACCTAAAACAATATTAAAAACAAGTGAATTTATTATCTTTAATATTTATCCTACTAGTAGTTCTATTTATCTTTACAACTTTGCAGGAAAAGCATTACGCATCAGTTTTGGATCAAATAGTCAGTAATAGACAATTTTTACTTCATAAATCAGTATCACATAACTCCAAGACCATGACGAGACAGCTCCATCAGAATAAAAACTAAAACCGAAACAAAAATTTCTGTTTATATGTAACAGAATTGAAAGAAATATTGTACTATATGTATGGTTTTTGAATAAAACCTCATTGGCATTTCATAATAAAAAAATAATTGTGTAATTCAGCACATGATGATATAAAAGTTAGGCACGCAAATTGAAAAATGGGGTGGTGAGTCATTGTGAAGTTCTCTCAGTACCCTTAAGTATCTTTTAAGTAGAAAGGTATATACATAGCATATAGCGATAATGTTTATACTTTAGTAGTCTGAGTGATTAGGTACTGCTTGAAAAGTGTAAATATATAATGTTAAGATAAAAATATATGATCAACTTACAAACTGCTACACCCTTATCTAATACTCCACTCTCGCTCTGTGTATCATCATCTATCGGTCTGTGCCTTTTACACTCATTAATCTTAAGCACTATATCGTCCTTTTGCACCATCACGAACACATTTCCTATTTAATATTCATCTATTCAACTTCCGTTTACTATATGTCCAAATAAAACGAACATCGAAATATAACTAAGACATTCAATAGGAACATTATAAGATTAGATAGCGACTGATAAGTAATGACGTTTATCTTTAGCATTCTTTATAATGTAACAACAGCAAATATTCGTAGAAATTACACATTTTAAGTATTTAGAATGTAATAAATACTCCACAATAATTAAATATGTCTGTTTAATATTTTAAAAATAAAACATATTTATAATTTGTTTACATAAAAAAATGCATATAATAAACAATAACATAATAATATCATAATATATTACGAGTTAAATCCATTATTCGCAACTATTCGTTCCTACCTAATTAGGTAGGTATATGTAGTAAGTATATTTTCCTATAATGAAGCTGATGTCGGCGTGAACTCGGTTTGATTAAGCGTGTAACCTTTCTTTATTAATAGAGATACTTTGTCCTAGAAAATAAATCAAGCGTATTTTCAAGCTCGGACCTATTTGAGCATATAATAATGCGACAAAGCCTAAACAGTTAAATATATGCACATAATATATTAAAAAAAAACAATGAACCCTGCAAAACACCGTATTTATATAATAAAAGAACATAAAAATAAGTACAGCATAATGGCTTTATATTTATTTCTTGTCACATATGTACCTATATAATAAAGATAATAATTACAAAAAATTGTAAAATATCAAAGATTTTTAAATATATAAACACTTAGTATATATGTATTTCAGTACAGACAAAATGTACATTCAATTATAAAAATATTGTAGCTCACCTTTCGTATAGATAGGAAAATCACCATCAGATCTACTGTGAGTGAGCATGGGTCCGTAGCACCGCCACGGCGACCCGTCGCGCCCCACACGCGATCCCTCCACGGCTTTATTCACCTCCAACCCATCAACACATAATCACGGCACAAGGGCCTACATTAAAGCACAACTCTTGTGACGTTCACTTCACGAAGCCCGCTCAGATTTAGATGGCGGCGCCACGGAAGCGAGGGAGCGAGGAAGCGATTGGAAGCTGCGGCGCATCTAACGTGCGCAGCCCTCACCCTCTCCCGATACACTATCTCGATAGGTCC